TCCCTTGTGGCATGTTTGAAGGGACCACACACATCCGTGTGTACAAGATCCAACAAACCTTCACCCCTCTCACAAGAACCTGTGAAGGGTGACTTTGTCATTTTTCCAAGTAAGCATGATTTGCAACTATCATCTGACTTTAGGTTAAATGACTCCAAGACTCCATCTTTTTGGAGTTGGCCTATGTGTTTCTTGCTTATATATCCAAGACGACAATGTCATAATGATGCTATATCCAAATTATTATCATTAAGAGAATCAATACACAAAACATTATTTCCTAAATTATGAACCACATATACAGTTTCATACACACCATCACAAGGTAATGCTTTAAAATAAAGAACATTATTAAAGAAAGCATTAATCGAACCAACTTCATTATCAAATGAAAAGGTGAAACCTTGGTTATACAATGCATGAAAGGAAATAATATTTCTTGCCATTTCTAGAGAATAACAACATTTATTCAAATCTAAATTACACCCACTACTTAGCGATAAAGTATAAACTCCAATCTTGGTGATAGGTAAAGCTTTCCTATTCCCCATGATTAAGTTTATTCTTCCTTGCTCCACATTCTCACTTCTTCTTAGTCCCTGCAAATCAAAACATATATGAATACCACAACTGGTTTGAAGGACCCAAGAATTAGAATGGGGTGAGTTATTAGATAAGATTGTGTAAATAATAGCATGGTTGGGTTTAACTTTCCCATCCTTCACATCTTGCTGGTACTTTGGGCAGTTCCGCTTCCAATGTGACCTTTCATGGCAATAGAAGCATTCAGTCTCGTTTAGGTTAGAAGAAGGAGTGACGAAACCTTTCTTTGTTCCACTTGAAGAGGAGCCATCAAGGGTCCTAGCCTTGGTACCCTTCGATGAGCTCTTCCTCTTCTTCCCTCGACTTTTCCCGATTGCCAAAACAGGGGCGGAGTTTGGAGTAGGAGTGTTAAAAACCGACTTCCCCTTAAGACCTGTTTCTGCGGTCTTGAGAAGTCCCTAAAGTTTGCTGAGTGTGACCACTTCCTTATTCATGTGATATGTCATGCGTAATTGATCATAGCACGATGGTAAGGAGTGCAAAATGATATCTATTGCAAGCTCCTCAGGGAAGTTCACATTAAGCTTCAGCAATCAATCCACATACCTTTGCATTTTCTGCATGTGGCTTGTGATGAACTCTCCGTCCTTCATCAAGGTTCTTATCATGGAACAGATGATTTCATACCACTCTTGTCGTGCACTTTGATGGTATCTTTCCATCAGATCTTGGTGCATTTCAAAAGGGTAAAAGTCCTCATAGGACTTTTGGAGTTCCGCTGTCATGGTGTCCATCATGATACATGCTACTTTGGTAGCATCCCTTTCATGTGCTTGGAAGTCAGCGATAGTTACAGTGGTCTCATCAATCTCCTTAAGCTCCTTATCAAGGATATATTCTTTGTCATCGTAACGGGTAATCATCGTGATGTTTCTGATCCATTCATTGAAGTTGGATCCATCAAAAGTGACTTTCCCACACAAGTTCATAAGGGTAAAGGAGTTATTAGGATTAGAGCTAGAAGCAGTGGTGTTTGAAGACGTCTGAATGAAGAGGACAAGATTAGTTTAGATATTAAAAGAGTCCTTAATAAAACACCCAAATGTAATATTAAGGCTACGATCCAATCACAATGTATTATAACTTAGAAGAGGTATGCTGTAATCCAAGCTATAACATATTTGAAAGGTAGGTGAATGACGATTCACCAATTTCCACCATGAAAAACGAAATATTGAGATTAGGTTTTTAATTGGTTATTAGAAATTCCTAGATTCTTTAAGATTCATTAAACTTTTCAATGGCATGTTTCAATCTCGAGTGTGCCCTCCAGGTTTTGTGATTGGGATACCGAGGATCACAAAACGAGGTGTGAAGTAAACATGCAAATCACTTGGTACCCTTAAAGTTTATCACTCAATCGATGTGTTGGTAAACCACACATGCTCCACCGATACTATGATAAACCTTAAGTCACCCTTTACCTACCTTGTTAAGTCCAAGTTAGTGTGCCGGTTGACCACACACGCTCCACCAACGACTTAAACAAAGTGTAAAGTGTAATTTCATGGATTAGCACCTTATTCACATTTTTCCTAAAGTAACTAAGATTGGGAATTTAATAAAACATTTAGTTACTTTATAATATTCATCATACTTTTAATGAGAATTTATAAGTCCTTGTCTTACCCGTTTGACTAACGACCCTCCACCAATCAAGGAAGCGGCGGTGAGAGTGGACACCCATTAAGTTGCCATTTTATAGGCAATAACCTTATACCCCGCTTATAGACCGACTTCGTGAATGAGGCGTACTAGCGGAAAGACGACTTGATCTTATACATACATACATACATACATACATACATACATACATACATACATACATATATATATATATATATATATATATATATATATATTATTAACTTATAATATTATAAAGTATAAGGGTTGAATTTTAACTTTTAAAATTCTAAGGGTTGGAACTAAAGTTTTAATTAAGACTTTACTTGTTCCAAAACTTGAGGGCAAGTTTTGTAAATTTTCAAAACTTTTCATTTCTTGTAACTTATGAGTTAATAGAGTATTAAAAAAATGAAGACTCTTCATTTTTATAAATCATGTGTTCTTTTAATGGCTTTTAACAAAGTGACTTTTGGTTTTCCATAACTTGAGGACAAGTTATGGACTCCATTAAAACACATAATGATCATGAATTAATCTACCACATAGGTTACAAATAATTCCTATGATCATCTAAACATCATAAGAACAAGATCATGAATATGAACACTTTCAAGAATCAAAAATTACACTTAAAACTTGTAATTTTGATAATTGTCATTGTAAATGGATTAGCATAAACATTACACCATCTAAAACATGTTTTCAAGTACCAATACAATTTAGGGTAATGTTTCTAGTCCATTTCCAGCAACTAAAATCGAAATTCTAAACACTACAGCCTCTACTCGTCGAGAGCAAGAACAAACTCGACGAGTAGCTTGCATTTTGTCATGGACTTGGCGAGTTCATACGAGCAGAAAGCAGAAAAAAGATTTTTTTTCAAGCAGTTTGCACAAATAATCAACAAACAAGCCTAGGCTCTGATACCACTGATGAGTTTTGAGCATTCTAACACTTCCTAAATGTACATGCAACCCTAATAACCTTGGATCTATGTTTGTCTAATTATCATGCAAAGTTGAATTCCAAGGTTATATTCCTATCTAGCATACATGGGGAACAATTTTTAACTTGAATGAAAGATAGAATAACATACCTTGTTGTTGCTTATTATCCTTGAAACCTTGTGAGCCTAGCACCTCAAGTGTCATGCCTCAAATGCTTCACACAACACCAAATGCAAAGGAGTAACCTTTGAGAGAATCTTACACTTGCAAAAATCGGCCTAGCCCTCACTTGTTCATGTGTAGCTGATTTTGGTGGAGAATAGGTTCCTTATATAGTGTTGACACATCTAGGGTTACACCATGTAAACCCTAATGTGTCATGACTCTTCATTTCCATGACACATGGGTTTGTAACTCCCATGGAGCATCCTATGGGTGGAACCCAACTTGATAACCCATGGAGCCTCTTAGCCCACTGTACAAGTATGGATGATTTACATAAGCAACCCATATATTTAATTAGTTATCTTTTGATCACTTAATTAATTCTAAATTAATTCTTGATCAAACTAATTAAATAATACTATTAATATATTAGAACTTATAATATATTAATAAACCACAAGTGTTATTTCTCTCATTTAGTCTATCCAATTGCATGGTTCCATGCAACCCAAATGGACCATGCCGGGTCGGGTCAAGTACATACCAGGAATAGTTATGGACTTAGACACGTTATCCAACACAAGTATGCTTTGGAATTTTTGAGTAGCTGGATAATATAGAAATCTCAAGAAAAATTAAACTAGATCTTATGGGAAGAAATTTCTTAGGTCTAGAAAATTTCATTAAGATCTCACAAAAATAAAATAATCAGATTTCATGGTACAAGACACAAAGGTGGTTTCACATCAATTCCATGGTGAAAAGGTAGAACATATCAATTATTTATCGCCAATTCAGAAAGTAATTTTGGATTATAGGTTTCACTCAATTCGTGGTGATAACAAATTTAAGATCATGAACACATAAGTTGTGTAATCATAACCCTCAGTGGTAATCTCTGAGAGTCTCAAGGGTTACGAATGTGATATGGAGAAATATTAAAGGTGGTTCAAAAGAAATAAATGTAACTACCTCTACTATATTGTGAATGACCAAGCAGTCAAATCTTAACGAAATATGAGAAGAGTAAGGTAGCTCAATAACTTATGTGAAAATTAGCCTGATTGGGAAGAAATGATTGGTATTATTGATTCATTAAGGCTTTAAACATAGAGTCTCAGCGACTTCAGACAACATGCAACAACATGCTTTTAGGGACACTTAACTAGTGCAAAGATTCAAAATTAAATATGTAAGTCCCGAAATAATGGATCTTATTCAATATCAACCTTAATTGCTTAAAGAATGTGGAATGTTAATCAAGAAATGATTCAAGAACACACAAAGTAGCTTCAAATGTACACGATTCTATTATCAATAAACCGTCTCCGTACATATGAACTCAAAGCAGCCGAAAACTAATGAATGAAACAACTAGAACCTATATAGCTGAACACAATATATATATATATATATATATATATATATATATATATATATATATATATATATATATATGCCAAGTACATTGCCATAAAGGTTTAAGCCCATCATGACCAAAATCACCATGGTGATTTCGGTCCTTACAACCAAAAACATAATAAGCCCATTAACAAAATACTATTCTAAGTCCAAGAACAATAAACATTATGAGCCGAGCATAAACCATAAAAATATGACCCACCAATCTCCCCCGTGGTTTATTGTTGGCTAAATTCAAGGTTTGTCCACGATATGCACGTCAGAATCACCCAATGCTCCTGCCCAAAACTCCTTATCAATGATTGCTGCAATCATGCCGGTGAATGTCTTAGCAGCGGCCTCAAACATTTCATTCTCCATCATAAGCTGATTTTAGAAAATGTGTGAATGTTATGCTCGCCAAATTTAGTAAATCGGTAGTATCAACAAGGCGAATCTGATCCTTTTCCGTCTTGATAACCACAGTTGTTGTTGCCACATCATATACCTAAAATAATAAATCATTTAAAGACTCATTAGGTAAATGCTGAGTGATTGGAAACTTTTTCGCTTTAGACGTATGTGACATCCCCCAATTTCTCGGCTAGAAAGATGGATTTAGTATATGATTTTAAAATAAAATCAGAGTAATCTTCCAAAAGATGTTGTGGAATGTTTCCCAAAAATATGATAATATAGTATCAAACCATTTCCAAGGAAATGTATTTTATTCATTTTAAAAGTTTGGGATTTCATCGTCAATACAAAACATAAGCATAAACAGAACTTACATTCATTTATACTAGTGATTTTACATATCCTTTAATCTCTTAGTGTAACGTAGCTTTGTATGGACACCAATGATAAAAATAACTTGAGTGGGTCAGGCTTGAGAGCTTGGTGAGCATATAGGGTTTTCAACCCACAATAATAAAGTTATTATGTTTTTATCATTAAACAATTAACTCAATTACTCATCCCCATTATCTTCTTTATTTCTTAAGGATTTATCCTAAGAATCATCTCACTCATTCCTAAGGATTCCTCCTAAGGAATAGGTACGAAGTCACATCGTCACCAGGGTTTTTACAAAAGGCACTAAGTCTATAGCTATCATTTATTGACAGTATTATATGCAGGAGCCCGCTAGTGTTCCACGAACCATCTAGAATAGTCCATGGCTGTCATCCATACTCTGTTGAATGACGGGGCCATCGCTTGGGTCATTGCTTGGTACATCGCTTGACTCATCGCTTCTCACCATATTTTATCACTCATATATCATCGCTCATCATTTATCTCATCTTTAATCTACCCATCTTTTACCCATCATAATTATAGGTATAAAATACATATACAGTTTAAATCATTTAAAACCTATATAAATCTTTCATTAAACATCCATCTCAAATAAACAAATAATATATATTTACATAGAACGTATTTTATATAAAATACTTCATATCCATGTGTAAGATGAAAGTGACTATACACTCACTTGATTTAACGATAATCGGGCAACACTTCGTTTCTTAAAATGATCGTTTCCGATGAAACCGGGATGTTTTCTCAAAAAATCAGGCTTCACGCGAGCAGACTTTTTCCTCGAAAAACTCTTTTTCGCAGAGACTTTGGGGCTATGGGCTTTCTTCAGATGCTAGGATGGTACCCTAGGCTCCGGGGTGTTTTAAGATGGCTAGAGAGGGTATAGAGAGCGAAAGATAGTGTGAATTAGAAACCATTCCTGAATACCCTCGCTTTCTATTTATAAGGTGAAAATTCGACATTCACGTCGTGAACCATGGATGTTCACGTCGTGAAATTTGATCCTGGTTATCCCCTAGGCTTGCCACGTGTCTTCTAGCCTTGATAAGTGTCAATCAACTGGTTCACGTCGTGAACCATGCTTTGCTCACGTCGTGAGTTGGTCAGTCCTCGAAGTTTGTGTTCCGAACTTCAGAAATTCATATCTTTTGAATACAAACTCTGTTTTTGACATTCTTTATATCCATGCATAAGTGAATTTAAGCTATACAACTTTCGTTTAGACTCCATCTGCTAATTTTGACTTTATTTTTAAAGTTATATTTTTAACATGCTGAGACAGGAAAAATCCGTTAAAAACTCATAACTTCTTTATTCGACGTCTGTTTTTGTCTGTCTTTTTACCGTTGAACTACTATCAACAATATCTTCAATTCTCGTTTAGGTTGTTTCGACTAAAAATCACTCGATCTAAAATTCGAGTTTCGGGTTGTATACTACTAAGCTGAAACTTAGAAAAATCATAATTTCCTCTAACGTAGTCAGATTTGGGCATTCTTTTTATGTACTCTCTCGGTTTAACGAACACTACTATTTTCGTTTAGATCACTAAGACAAAAAATCGTTCTATCGTAAATTTTCTATTTACGTTACACAACGTTGTGTCGGTTCTGTCGCAAAAACTTCGACAGGTCATAACTTCTTTATTAGAACTCAGATTTTGGCGTTCGTTATATATCTGGAATCCTTGTAATGACCACTACAACTTGGTTAAGATTATTCATTCTGAATAATATTCTATCAAAAAAGTGATTTTCGACGCTTATCGTCCCTAAATTGACTAGCCCGGATCTACGGGCGTTACAACGTAGGCGGCCACATGACATTTACCAGAGTCTTGTTGGTGTGAGGATCTAGGAAACCCTTGGACATTTTAATGAATGAAGCTACTGTTTTCATGCCAACAAAGTTCATCTTAGCTTTGTCTTCAAGGAATCTTTTAAACGCCCATGCGTTGGGATCATTTGTTGGGTTGTGAAACGGTGTGTGGACTAGATCTGCAAGATCAACTTTTTCCCAGGACATAAAATCAATCTTCTTCACATAATACTCAATGTTAAAACTCTTACGTTTCACAATCCACATATTCCTGTCAGCTTCAAATCCCCACATGCGAATTTCAGAACGATCACCGTAACGATCAACAAATTTTCTTTTTCCAACTTCTTTGATGAACATCTGAGGTTGATCAGCAGTTTCATTCTGATCAGAATTCTTCATCAAAAGCATTTTATCTTTCTTCAGCATATTCAGTTTCTTCTGTTTCTTCCTTCTCTCTTCAGTTGTGGCAACACCAAAAGACAAATATTGATCTACATTGGAATCCTAAGCGGGACTAATTACCACCCTTTCAGATGACTTAGGAGCCTTTTCACCAGCAGAACTGGAACTATTGAACTTATAACTTTCCATTTAGTTTGTCTTTGAGATCAAAGTAGAAACATGCCAGTCCACCAAGATTAGTGATGAGATTAAACTTTCTTTTAATCTATGAAGATCGATTAGATCTTGAACAAGTAAGTAAACAATGACAATATGAACACGATAAAAGAGCAGAACAAGATTGAATCAAACGTGTCGAATGATTAAAACAAAATCCTCAGAAGAGCTCGATTAAGAACATCAACTGTAGAGGACTGGAAGGTTACAAGAACGATTAAAGAAACCTTTTATCGTCTGGAAAAATTGTTATACGCCGATCTCTAAAAACCTTAACCTAATATGCATGCAAGCATTAGCTTATATACAAAGCATAAATGACTCACGGTTGGACAGGCCCAAACCGGAATACAAAACAACATAATTAGACGAGCCCAAAAGACGCAATCTATAAAGCCCAACAATCTCCCCCTTTGCGTCAATTTGGAGCGAGACATTTACTAATTTCTTGGGCCAGCAGCCGAAACCGGTACCTTCTTCACGGTACTAAACAGACACTTGGTGATTGAAAGAATGGTCTGTCTAAACCGGATGTACCAGTTAATCATATCTTCAAAATACTTGACATCATCGGCGGAGTTCTCTTTACACCGTTTGACAATGAACAGCACATGCTCCAAACAGGTTGTGGTGTAAAGATGTTTGTCAGCTAAAGCGAAGAGACATTTCTGTCCTTCCGCTCGAGTGAACATGACGGTGTTACGTCTTGGGTCAATCTTGCCCAGCAGCATTTGATTGAGATCACTGGCCGATCCCACAGGAGCAATTTTGGGTTTCTTCTTGAAGACTGTGGCGACCTCCTGATCCATAAGGGCAACCTCCATGATGTAGCAGATTAACATCCTTTTGACATGGTCTAGAATGGGACCATATTCAGCTTCATTGGTCAAAAGGATATTATACAGGACGATCCAATCATGAGGATTTAGATTCGGTAGATCTGCCAGAGAGATAGGATGAGCAGATTTTGCAGATCCCCGAATCAGTTTGAACCGAACGTTTATAAAACGTCCTTCAGTATATGGTTTTAGCACCCGAACGTTTACAATCTTCTGGGCGCTCCATGTAAGGAATTGTGGACGAGCAGCCTTCAGATAGAAGTCAATGAGCTCCCTGTCAAGCTCAGCGTTCGGGTGAGGGACTTCAAAAATATTAGAGAAGATGTGGAAGATGAACGCCTTTCGAGTCAACGGCTTATCGAACTGCGAATCGACAGTGTTGCTGCAGTCGAAAGATATAACCGGCTCGAGCCATAATATGCTGGGTGTTTCAATGGCCTCTTTGATCAAGCGTTCCCTGGTCCAGGCAGGGAAGAGAGTCTTTCGGCTCTCAAGGAGATCGTGGGCTTCTTTTTGTTTGCGTTCGGCTTCGGCAGCCTCACGCGCCACACGACTGGCATCTTCACCAACATTGCGACTGTTCTTTCATTTTAAAATGTCGGCAATAGTCTCCTTGTCGCCTTCTTCATTTTCGTCCTCAGCTATAATTTTTCCTTTGTCCTTCACACCCGAACCTAAAGATTGATGAGTTGAAGATGGTTCAGTTGTGTGAGTAGCTTTGGAGGAAGGAGGTGGTTTTGAACTTGTCTTCTCATCTCCCCCTTGTTTAGGAATGGACACAAAACTGGGGAGGCCTTCGACTTTGTTAAGTAGATCGATGGCTGGAGAGAGCTTTTCAGCAAGGGATCGCCTCACCGAAAAGTTTATTAATTGGATCATGTGCTTCCAGAATGTTTGAGATAACAGCGTGGACATCCGAAACACATGTCTTGACCACCTCCCGTTCAGAGCGAAGATCTTCCAGTTCTTGTTGGGATTGAGAGAGTTAAGTGGTCTTGACCTCAAGTGCAGTTGTTTTTGAAGCCAGATCGTCCATTAAAGAACGCTCGGTTGTCAGATCTTCTTGTAGCTTGACGAGGCGAGCTTCAATGGAGGCGGTAAAGGCCGAGTTGTCGTCGCTTATGTTTTGACGTAGATTGGCGAACGAAGGCAACTCCGATGAGACAAACGTAACCAATTGTTGGACAATTGGTTCCAAAGATGCCTTTGTGGCATTTGCACTTTCTTGCATGGACTGCAGTAGGACAGAGGCATCAGAAAATAGTTTATCGACTTTTTCGGTCGCTGCCTCACATGCCCGGGTGGATGCCTGAATTGCTGCAGTTGCTGAGGCTGCTGAATCATGTTGAGCCCTGGAGAAGGCATCAACAATCTTCTGAAGTGCAGCTTCAGACAGGGTTGATTGTTGGTTAGACGAGGAGGCGAGAAGTAGATCAATCTTCTCGTTGAGCTGTTTGAGATGTTTCTTAGTTACTGGGGCATCATCCTCCTCGTCACTTTGAACTTGAAACGGACTATAGTAGACCGAATCAAAGATCATGTTGTCTCCCCCGAGATAAGGGTTTTCACCCTCAGATGCATTGCCATGAGATGAAGAGGGTGGAGAGGTTGGGGGTGTTGAGGGTTTAGTAGGAGAAGGTTGAGTTGGTGAAGGTATAGTTTCGGTTGGTGGTTGAGTATGGGTAGTTTCGGTTGTGTGGGTTTTGGGTTGAGGAAATTCGGTTAAATGTGGTGATTCAGTGGTAGTGGTAAAGATTTGTGGAGGGGAAGGAATTGGGGAATTGGGTAGTGCAATCTCTGGGGTAGGGGATCGAGGTGGTGTATTGCCTCGTTGAGGAGATGCATCCCCTTGAGAGTCGTCAGAACCCGAACTCTCACCCTCAGAGTCACTCGAAGAGGAGGGTATAACAAGCTTTCGCTTCGGTTGGGTCTTCCTCTTCTTCGGTGGGGGGGAAGGAGCAGCTTTTGGCTGTTTCCTCTTTTTAGGAGAAGGCCCCTTTGAAGCTTTGGAGGCTTGTTTTCCTTTTTCCGCCTTTTTACCTTTGCTCACCGGTTTATCTGCGTCATGAATAGACCTGAGCATATCCGGAGTCAGATCCCTTGGACCAGATGGTGTTAGCTCCTTGAGCTTCCGAATCAACCTGCTATCCGGAGGGACAGCACCATACATGGACTCCGGAATTGAACCAATAAAGGTGAATTTTGATGCATCTGAGATGATGATCTTCTTGGTATGGAAAGTACCAACAGAAGACATCGATGCACCTTCAGCAGTGGGAACGTCGAATCTGTCCATGGCCCATTTAGTTATCAGTATCCAGAATCGAGCCAACGAAACTTCAGAGTGTCTGGATGAAGAGGAGAGGCTTTGAATAAGCTGTTGCCATAGAACAAACCCGTAATCCAGGTTGATCCCATTATAAACTCCGTACAGGATGGTGAGGAACAGACGACTTGCACCATCTGAACCTGAACTTCTCTCCGACAGTCCCTTGAAAAGGACTGTAAATAAACCGTTCCATTGAGGCGGCAAGCATGATTTTTGAATCTTGCAACTGATGTAAGAACCTCTGTGTATCCCATGTTGTAAAACATGTTATACAGATGACCAATCTGTATCGACTCCGGATGAACTCTGGATGGGTCAGAAGCAAATCCGAGCAACGAGCAGAAACGTGGGCGGGAGACGGAGGTTTTGTGGTCTCCAATCTCGAAAAATACCCGGTCGACAGCCCTGTCATAATATGCAGTCGCGTAGACCTGCGATAGGGCCTCCATTGGCACCGATTCGATCCTGGAAGTGCTGGTACGAGTTGTGAATACTTTAAGCACTCTATGACCGGCGACATGTAAGGGTCGTATGCCTTTGGGTTAAGATCAATGACCAAGCATTGCTGTGGGCGAATGGGAAGAATCTGGGAGGTAGCATGAACTGAAGAGGAGTCAGCCATTGATGCAGGTGTGAAGAAGATGATGAACAGGAAACTGTATGGGAGTGTTTGAGTTTTTGGAAATTTTGAGAGTGGTAAAGAGGTAAAAGGAGGGGAATGGGCTATTTATAGTTGGTGAGAAGAGAGAGAAAGATCGTTTCAAATCTCGTATGGATGACAGTTGGGACGGGCGATGATCACGTAGGAGAGAGAGTGTCAGATTCCTAGGACCACGCCGCCCAATAAGCGCCGTTTCATAGGGACAAGCCGTTACTGTTTAACCACGCGCATTGAATGCCACAGGACAAAAAAAACTTAGGATTTAAAAGAATGTCCGTTAAAATTACGATCAACCATTTATAGAGAAATGTTGAAAGGCTTCTTTTAATTAGGCTAAAAACGACTGGCTTTAAAATAAAATCTCAGAAAGAAAAATAAGAACAAGATCCAAGGGAAGAAATGTTATGGGTTTGTAACAATTTCATAGGAATCGCATAAAATTGGAGATTTTAATAGGGTACTTTCATCAATTCTTTAGTGAAAACTTGAGCAATTTAATTGTTCACCGTCAATTCGTTAGGTGTTGAATTTTGGGTTTCACTTAGTTCGTAGTGACACAATACTAAGATCATAAACGCAGATGTTGTGCAACCATAAACCTCAGTGGTAAGTGCTGAGAGTCTCAAGGGTTACCATGATGGAATGAGTGTAGTGGAGAAGTAATGTAGAGATGGTGCAAGAGAACAAAGTACCTCTACTGCGAAAAGAAGGACCAAGCAGGAAATTCTTAACTCATGTGAGAAAAGAGTGAGGTAGCTCACGATTAGAATAAATGAATTGGCCTTATTGGGAAGACAAGGTTTGTGTATACCAGGTCATGAAGGCCTTTATTCAAAATCTTATGAGGCTTGAGACACATACAGCAGCATGCTTCTAGGGACATTTAGGAGTTTCAACAAATGTATCCTTATAAACTAACACAAAAAAAAATTTGGAATTTTTGAGATAAACCGAACCCGAACCTTCGGTTGGTTTCAGT